ATGTACAGTTAATCTAAGCTTTCTACAGCTACAACAGTGAGCTCACGTAAAAATAAAATGTCCCAGGCCAAGTTCTCGGAAATCGAAGGTCAAACACGTTCTCTGCTTTGGCAGGAGGGAGGCCCAGGTTATAACGCCTTTTATCGTGCCCCGGCGGGGTGCCTTACCCAGGTCATTTATTCACGCTGGTGAGCAGGACAGAGTTGTTAAAAGCAGTTGCATCGGGATATGTAACATTCTTGGAGGAGGTAACGTTTTTTGTCTGGGTGCAGGAAGATGGGGGGTGATTTTCCGAGCCCTATGAAGGGGGGTTAAAAAAAAAGAGTCAGCAGGCCTTGCCCTGCCCTGCCCTGCCAAGGTGTAATGAAAGTGCAAGGCCTGTTTAGAATGAGGGTGTGTTCCAGGGAGGAAAAAGAGGTAAAACTGGGAAGACAGTTCTGGGCCATGTTGTGAAGTGCTTTTTATGATTGGTTCAGGAGGTTTGCTCTTGGAAAGTGTGTGTGTGTGTCTCTGTGTGCGTGTGTGTTTAGTAGGTCGGTGAGTAATAGTGGAGTTGGTTTGGGGAGGCTCACTCACAATCTGTAAATATTAAAATAACATCCACAGAAGCTGTGGGATGTATATAGATGATATGTCCAGGGTTTTCCATGAGTAGTCTAATTTAAAATATTCTGTCTCTTCGTCTCCATAAGTCAATAATTTTTAATCCTGCATACTTTTAAAAATTAAAAAAAGGGGAGGGAACGCTGTTCAAGCCCTGTGTGCAGAGACTCCCACTTAAGAGGTCTTGGGTCGGGCCTGGGATTCTGAGGTGTTGAACCATTCCCTAGGTGATTCTACAGCCAGGACTGGAAACCCTCCAGCCCAAGCTCCTAAGTGATGCTCCTAAGTCTTGTTATTTGGTTATATTATGTACTGAAGCAGAAGTCCTCTGAGATTTTTGCTTCAGAAAACGCTGCTGCATGCGCATGGTCAGTCAGGAAGGAGAGGTTTGGGCTGGTTTATGGGGAGTGTGGCTGTGACTCTTTATTTTTTTAGTAAATTTATTTTATTTCTTTATTTTTGGCTGCGTTGGGTCTTCGTTGCTGCGTGCGGGCTTTCTCTAGTTGCGGCGAGCGGGGGCTACTCTTTGTTGCGGTGCTTGGGCTTCTCATTGCGGTGGCTTCTCTTGTTGCAGAGCATGGGCTCTAGGCACATGGGCTTCAATAGTTGTGGCGCGCAGGCTCAGTAGTTGTGGCGCGTGGGCTTAGTTGCTCTGCGGCATGTGGGATCTTCTCGGACCAGGGATCAAACCGTGTCCCCTGCATTGGCAGGCAGATTCTTAACCACTGCGCCACCAGGGAAGTCCTTGTAACTCCTTTTCATTTGTCTGGTTCTTCTGTTGTGTTTGGGAGTTGGGAACTGCCTCTGCACCACTCCGTTCTCTGTCCTTTTTCTTTTCAGGGCTTTGGAGTCACTTGCTAGGAGGCTTCTCTCCCCGCCCCCCAGGCCGCCATGGCTGCTCGGCTGGTGAAGCGATGCACGTGCCTCCTGAGGGAAGCCACCCGTCTGGCCCCTGCCGTGTCCCCGGTTGGCCAGCTGAGACTCGCCCGGGGAGCCCAGAAGCCTCTGACTTCCTCGGCTACCTCATCCAGCTCCCGCCTCCCAGGTCCTTTGTCAGAGCTTGTGGAGAAGGAACAGGTGTTTACTCCCTACCCTGAGCGCCAGGAGGTGGACCAGCTCATCGAGAAGGCCACCAGGCCAGAGGAGCTCCTGGAGCTTCTGGGTGGCGGTCACTGTCTGCACGAGAACCACGCCGCCCTCACGCTCATCCAGCTCTCTCGCCTGCTGTCTGAGAAGCCGAAAGACAAAGCCTTGCTCATACAGGATGCCCGCTTTCGGCAACTTCTCCATCTTGTCAACAGCCAGGTGGGTTCGAGAGCCCTTCCTGCAGGTTCAACAAGCAGAAAACAGCAGAGGCCCTGGAGTCCGAAGCATCCGGTCACTTTCCGGGTGTAGACAGGAGCTCTGCTGTGTGTTCAGGCCCTCCACGTCCAGTGGTATTTTTTCATTTTATAGATTCCAAAGTACTTTAATGTGTTTCTTCTCTTTTTTTAAATTAATTTTTATTAGAATATAGTTGCTTTACACCGTAGTTTCTGCTGTACAGCAAAGTGAATCAGCTATTCAAATACATATAACTCCTCTTTTTTGGATTTCCTTCCCAATTAGGTCTGCTTTCTCTTGTTAATCCTCACAGCAGGTCTGTTAGGTGAACATTGCTGTCCTCATCTTACAGATAAGCAACTCAGACACAGTAAATAGAAGCACAAGGATCGAGCACGGCTCTTCTCAATGCCTTGGGGGCTTTCCCCCTCGCCCTGCAGTCTCGGCTTGCATAGCCCCCACTCAGTGTCTGGCTGACGGGGGAAACACTCTTGAAGCTGGAGGAGATGAGGGGTGACTAGCAGAGGATCTCAGAAACTTGAGCTGCCCATGGGCGTTATCCGATCGGATCCTTAAAGGTGGAGCGTGGAGAGAAGGGACCTGTGTGTGGCAGGGATTGGGGTCAGGACTCTACCCAGTTTGTGTTCCGTGTGAGGAAGGACTCCCTTCATGCAGACTCTTCCCGTGGCTCCATGGGGTCTGCTGGAGCCAGAGGGCCTGGGGCGCAGCAGAGAGGTACAGACCCTCCCCCTGGCTGCTCCAGAAGGGCGAGGCCCTGTGTCCACTTGTCAGGGATGGTGAGGAGGAGACTCGCAGCTCAAGGAAGGGGCCACATTAAATGAAATTTTTCAAACTGTAGGTTATGAAAGTGTAGTGGAAGTGGCCAAGTGTTTTTAATGAGATAGAGTAATGTAGAAAACAGTTCACATGTAGTAAGGGAAGTGTTTCGTGGAACTTTTTGTCTTAGTTAAGTGTGTATGTGCAGTTCACAGTAGAGATTTATTTCTTACTGAGAATATAACTCAAAAATTAAGTAGATCCCTTTTTTTCTAAGACTATAATTCTAGTTGTTATTCATTGAACATTTTACACACAAAGTAAGCTTTAGAGACAAGACTGAACATTTGGAACAAAATTACAAAATTGTAATTACAAAATTACATTGTAACAAATTACATTGTAACAAAATTACAAGCTAGTAATGAACCAGGAACAAAGTATTTAGAAATGTAAGCAGTGAACAAGATTTCTTTTAAAGAGCCTTCCTACTTCAGGGAAATCTGCAGAAAAAGCAGGAGCCACTGGAGGCTCATGTGATGCTGAGATCAAATTCATACCTATTTTTTGTTTTGCTGCACCACGCAGCTTGTGGGATCTTAGTTCCCCAAACCAGGGACTGAACCCGGCCCCTGCAGTGGAAGCGCAGGGTCCTAACCACTGGACTGCCAGGGAAGTCCTGCATACTTTTCTCCTTCTGCCCGGCCTTTCACACAACAGCTTTTTTGTTTGCCCCTCACGTGTGTGTGATTTCAGCTCCTCCTCTCAGCAGTGCAGCCCCATTTCACAGACGAGGGCTCAGGAGACTTGCAGAGTGGCGGAGTTAAGGGCCTTAGCGCCGCAGACAACAGAGCCCTGCTCAGCTACTGAATACTGCCTTCCCTGGGGGTGGGACCAGAGGGCTCCCCGAGTGGCCCCCATATTCCTCTGAGGCCTGGAGACACGCCCTGCAGGGAGCGCTGTGGTGGGCCTGCTGGCCCAGACAGGCTGTGAGGGAGGAGCAGCCTGGTGCGCCCGCGTAAGTGACAGGTGGGGAGCTGCTTCTAGGGAGGCAGCCACCAGCTCGGAGCCTCGGCCCGCTCTGTAACAGCACAGGGTCAGCAGGGTCCCGGGTGTGACCTTGCCTGTGTCCCCCCCACCCAGATCACTGCAGTTTGGCATGGGACCCTGGTGAAGCTGCTCCGGAGCCTCTATGCACTGGGCCTTCCCCCCACCTCCAAGGAGCTGCGGTCGGTGGAGCAGGAGGTCCGCTGGCGCATGCGCAGGCTGAAGTACAAGCACCTGGCCTTCCTGGCCGAGTCCAGCGCCAACTACATGCAGGAGCAAGACTCCCAGGAGCTGCTGGCCGAGCTGCTGGTGCAGCTGGAGCGGCGCTGGGCAGAAATCGATGACAGCCGCATGCTGGTGGCCATGATGATGAAGACGGGGCACCTCTCCGAGTCTCTGATGACCCGCCTGGAGGACAAGGTACTGGGATCCAGAGCCCTGGCAGCTTCTGTCCGGAGTCTGAGGCATGGCACTGGAGGGACTGGCGCTTCAGACAGCTGGAGGCAGCTCTCCGCACCCACTGGCTCCTCCAAGGATCCAGCCAGGGGGGTGCAGAGCCTGAACCCCACTCCTTTGTATTCCTCCAAAATTGCGTCTTGCACATAACCTGGAGGCGGCATGGCCGGCAACTCCTGAAGTGTGTCCTGGGCCACCCCAGTGGCTCAGCCTCCGGCTAGTGCTTCCTAGAGATTCCACGCCTGCCCACCCCCTGCTCCACCCCCAGCGCTGCAGTCAAGTCAAATTCAGCCCCTGTTCCCGTGGTAGCGGGGGCTGGCCCAGATGACTGCTACAGCAAGCTCCGCAGTTCATGGGCCCCGGCTCCTCTGCCCTGGGGCCTGGGGATAAGTTTGGCTGCAGACATGGCGCCCCAGTCTGGGGGCTCCTTGGGGTGGGCGTGGGGGCAGGCCCTGCACGGGTGGGGCCTGTGTTTAGTAAGCTCAGGCCCAGTTACTGTCTCGCAGGGCCTGCACTGCATGGGACCCCTGGCCCTCGGGCCGTCGAGCTGACCCTGCCGGCTGTGGTTGACAGTGCCTGGAGCTGGTGGAGCATTTTGGCCCCGAGGAGCTACGGAAGGTGCTGGTGACATTGGCAGCTCAGAACCGGCGGTCGGTGCCCTTGCTGCGGGCCATCTCGTACCACCTGGTCCAGAAGCCCTTCCCCCTGACGAAAGGCATCCTCCTGGACCTGGCCTACGCCTATGGTGAGCCCTGTGCACGGAGAGCAGAGTGGGGCGGGGGCTGAGTTCTGGCCGCAGCTGTGTCAAATTCGGTGCCTGCCTTACCCGTGGTGGACACTGGCCTAAAAGGCTGCCACAGAAACATTGTGACTCACAGGCCCTGATCCTCTCTGCTGGGCCTCAGGGATAAATTTGGTTACAGACACCAAGCTCTTGCTTCTTGAGACCAGGGTGGGTGGTGGGTGGGCCTGAGGGTGGCCTGCCAATCCTCACCAGTTAAATCTCGGGCTCTGTCCCCAAGGCAAACTCGGCTTCCACCAGACGCAGGTGTTCCAGCGCTTGGCTGCAGACTTGTTGCCCCACACTCCTAGCCTGACGTCCAGCGAGGTGGCCCGCTGCACCAAGTCCTTTGCCTTCCTTAAGTGGCTCAATCTGCCCCTGTTTGAGGCCTTTGCCCAGGTGAGCTGGGGTGCAGGCCTGAGGCCTGGCTTTGAGGGCCTTCTGTGCCTGACCCCCTGCGTAAGCCGGCTCCCTGGTCATTTCATTAGGGAGGCCCCTCCGGCCTGGAAACACTTCCTGGTGGCAAACATGGAGTCCTTATTCTGGTTTATTTGGAGAGAAATGATACAATTTAGTAGTGAAAGAAAATATAGTTGTAAACGGTTTCTTTCACCAAATTTCGTAGGAGTTTTTGTCCGTCTTTGGGTAGCTGTGTGGGTAGCAGTGTAGACAGCGAGGCTGAGAATCCACTCAGAACTCTCCCTAAACTTCCAGCTGCCCCAGAATGGAGTTGTGAAGAAAGAGGATGTTTGCACTTAGGTTTATGTGCAACAGATTGAAACTGTGTTTGTAGGCTGAGGAGTATTTCTAAAGCTGTCGTCTGGGGCCTTTTGTGTGTGTGATTGCCTCTGGGAGGATAGGGTCTGGCCCTCTGCCCACTGCCCTGTGTAAATTACCCCTTGGGGCTGGGAGGTCATGGGCTCTGGGGGAGGGCCAGGTCTGCATGGGGCACTGGCCACCGGGCACCTCTCATCCGGCCTTTCTGTCCTACCTGACCGGCCCAGCACGTCCTGGACAGAGCCCAGAGCATCACTCTGCCACACCTGTACAACATGCTCCTGGCTTTCGCCCGTGTGAACTTCCGCCCAGAACGGGAGGATCCGTTCTTCAGCCTGGTACAGTCTTCACGCCCCCAGCTCCTGCCTCGGATGCTCAGCCCTCCTCGGAGCAGCTCGGGACTGAGTGGGAGGGAGGGAAGAGACCGGATATGTGCTAAGGGGCCCCGGGTGTAGGCAGTAAGGAAGAAGGCCCGGCATGGGCACGTGGAGGGAGCTGGCTAGAGCCAGGCGTCCCAGGGATTGTTTGGGGACGAGACACGCAAAATCCAGCATGGCAGCCAAGGGTCAGGAGGGCATCTGATGGCTCACTGTGCAGTAGGGCTGGGGGACCCTTGCTCTTGCTTCCTAGGGCTACCTCAATGCCCTGTTGGGGCTCAGAGACCTCAATCCACTTGCAGGGGTGAGAGCGTCCTGTGAGTGGACTGGGTATGACCCTAGGGCCCCGCGGTGGGCACTGCCCCAGCCAGCCAGCTGCTTCCCCTTTCATAATCTCTAACTCCTCTCAGGGCCAGAAATACCTCCCCTGTGCAGGAGATGTGGTTTTGTGCCATAGGTCCCTGCCAGTGGGAGGGGCAGCAGGGGGAACACAGCTGCCGTCCAGATTGGGCCTAAGGGATGAGGAGGGTTTCTGGTACCTTCCACCAGGGGTGCCCCAAGCCTGACCAAGAGCACCTTGGCCAGCGTTGCTCCCCATCACCCCCTTGGGCCTCAGCGTGGCCAGGTCATAACGCAGCTCCAGGTGCTGCCCACCCAGGGATGCCTGCGGCCACGGAGCAAACCTGCTTTCCCCACCCCACCCCGTCCTTGCCCAGGTGCATGAGAAGCTGGGGTCAGAGCTGGCAGGCCTGGAGCCAGCCCTGCAGGTGGACGTGGTGTGGGCCCTGTGTGTGCTGCAGCAGGTGCTGGAGGCCGAGCTGCAGGCTGTGCTCCACCCTGAGTTTCACACCCAGTTTCTAGGTGAGCGGTGGGGGGTATTCCTCCCTCTCCTGGGTGATGGCAAGCTCCCTGTGCATCCCCCGCCCCATCCCAAGTACCGCCCCAGCCTTGAGCCAGGAGGGCGCCTGGGAGCTCAGGGCTCCGCTCACCATCGGGGAGACTGGGCAAGCCCGGGCTCACCCAGCATCTGCTCCTTCTCTGTCCACTCCTAGTGGGTGACCGGCAGACCCTCTTCCCGCTGCTCCTGGCCCAGAGTCCAGGGTGAGACTTGGGTGAGGGGTGCCTCTGGCTCTCCCACCTGGCCCCCGTGTCCCTCCACCGTCTTCCTCCTGGCCCTCCTCCAGCTCCTCCCCTCTCTCTCCATCCTCTACCGTTAGGTGTCGAGTCCCCAAAGGATCAAAGCACCTTCCAGAAGCTGCTCCATATCAATGCCACTGCCCAGCTGGAGCACCCCGAGTACACGGGCCCCCTTTTGCCAGCCTCAGCCTTGGTCCCCAGGCCCTCGGCCCTTGACAGGAAGGCGACCCCCTTGCAGAAGGAGCTGCAGGAGACGCTGAAGGGGCTGCTGGGGAGTGCCGACAAGGGCAGCTTCATGGTGGCCACGCAGTATGGCTGGGTTCTGGGTGAGGGCCCCCCCCTCCCCCTCCCCTTCCCCCTCCCCTCCCCCTCCCCTTCCCCCTCCCCTCCCCCTCCCCTTCCCCCTCCCCCTCCCCCTCCCAGCAGTCCCATCTGGGGACTGTTCTAAACCTGCCCCCTCTGCTCTCCAGGGTCTCTGTTCATCCATCATAGGGGCGGGGCTGTCAGCCCAGTTGAACGCCAAGGGACAGTCCCCAACACGTTTTCATTCCGTGCTCTCCCTAGATGCTGAGGTGCTTCTGGACACCGACAGCCAGCTCCTGCCCCTGAGGGCCTTTGTGGCCCCTCATCTCGCCCTGCCCTCTGGCAGCCAGCCACTACCCCCGGGGGCCAAGAGGTGAGCGACCACACAAGCCTCGGGGGCCACGTGCACTTGGCTCCTCAGCATTCCCTCTTCCCTCCAGGGGCCTAGGAAAGCTGTCAGCACCCACAGCGCCCCTCTTCCTGCAGGCTGGCCTTCCTGCGCTGGGAGTTCCCCAACTTCAACAGCCGGAGCAAAGACTTACTGGGGCGCTTCGTGCTGGCCCGGCGCCACCTGCTGGCCGCTGGCTTCCTGCTGGTCGATGTGAGTATCTGTTGGGTGGGTGGTGACTGCACAGGGAGAAGCCTCCGGCCCAGTCGGGTTATGGGAGGAGCCAGTGCTCACGCGGACTCCAGCTCTTGAGGTCAGCCATGTTGGGATTCCCCCTTCACGTGAGAAAAGGGAAGCTTGAAAGGGTGTTGTATCTTTCTCAACGTCACACAGCTTTTAAGTATCTGATGCCGTAGGCACTGTTCCCATCTCCACAGCCAGGGCCTCTTAGTCTTAGACGGGGTAAGAGCAACCAGGTGCCCAGGTCCGAGTGCCGACGTGTGCCTCAGCCAGGGTTCTGCTGTGCTCCGGCCCTGGGGCCTGGCTCCAGCTTTTCACTGCAGAGACTTCTGCCATGGGAGCAGGCTGTCCTGTTAGGGGCGAGAGATTCACATGAGTGACTCTCCTGTTGAGTTTTTTGTTTTGCTTTCGGTACAACTTTTAAAATCTAGAGGCTGCTCTTGGTCCTGTGTAGCCGTGGGCCCCTGCAGCTCTGAGCACTGACCAAGTCAGGGTCTCTTCCCCACCCATGCTGCGGCAGCTCCGTGGGCTTCTTCCTTCGGGATTTGGAGGCCAGGAGTGTGGTGTGCAGGGCAGCAGGCGGGACAAGGGTCCCCGCCTGCCCTGACTTGTCTCCTGCCTCCCCAGGTCCCGTACTACGAGTGGCTGGAACTTAAGTCTGAATGGCAGAAGAGCGCCTACCTCAAGGACAAGATGCGCAAAGCAGTGGCAGAGGAGCTGGCCAAGTAACCTGTCCCGTAGCAAGGACTGTGTGACCAGGGGGCCGGACTCCCCTGGAGGCCTAGCCACGAGCACTGGTGGGCCAGAGGTGGCACGCTTGAGGACAAACCTCAGTGCAGGACCTTGGCCGGAAGTGGGCTGGCGGCCAGCATCTCTGAGTGGCAGGTCGTTCTTTCACGGGTAATAAATCTTCAATCAGCTGCCTGTCTGTACCAGCTTCTCTGCCACCCACGCAGGACCCTTCCTGTGCACATTCGTGCACGGCTGGCCTGTTGCTCAGGGCTGGCAGCCCCAGCACAGGCTGAGTCCTGCAGTGCTGAACCTCAGCACACGAGGACCTTCCCGGCGGGGGGCAGTGGGGTCTTCAGTGCATGGCTTGGGGTTCTAATCATGGCGTGGTTACTCATGACAGCCGTCCTGGGAGTTCCCCTCCCGTCCGATGGTCTTGGGAGAGTGGGGGAGCCTGACGGCCCACACTGCCACGTGGCATAAGGCCAGTCACTCAGGAGGCACTGGCTCTGAGTAGAAGACAGGCATGCACTTGACTGACACTGGGGCCAGAAGAGACCCCTTGCTCTCCTTACACCCAGACCAGAGCGCCGTGGTGTCATGCTGCCATTGTGGGAACTGTCTGCCTGCGTAGCCCGGGCCCCTTCACCACACCAGCAGCAGCGCCCCCAGATGCTGGAAAGAAATAGGCATTCTCCAGATTCCCTGGCGGTCTAGTGGTTAGGACTCCACGCTTCCACAGCTGGGGGCCAGGGTTCAATCCCTCGTTGGGTAACTAAGATCCCACAAGCCACGCAGCATGGCCAAAAAAAAAAAAAAAAAAAAAAAAAAGAAATGGGCTTTCTTGCAGTCCCTCACAGGAGACTTTGCTGGAGACAGGGCAGTGTCATGTGCCTCCAGCAGTACAGAGTGGAGAGAGGCTGGTGTGAGTGGGGCTGAGCAGAGGAGAAGGGCCATCTCGCCCCTGTGGGCCCCCATCCCAGCTGTTCCCCGCTCCCTCCAAAGCGGTCCCTCGGAGAGTGAGGCACACAGGCATTGGGGTAGCAGGGGAACCATTGGGCACCAGCTCACAGGACGTGGGTCCTTGTCACTTGCACAGGCTGGCGGGGGTTCTTCACCCAGAGACAAGGGCAGCCAAGATGGCTTTGTGAAGCTGCTGAGTCCAAGCCCAGGCAAGATGAGGGAGCAGGGAGCACTGCACAGTGAAGGGCAAGTGTGGACAAGCGCGCAGGGCTGGGCCAGCGGGGGCGCCTCTGGGGGCTCCCAGCGAGGAAAGAGCTCGTCCTGTTCACCAGGATCTCTGGCTTCTACCTGAGATACTTGAACAGCTTCTCTGCAGTCGTAAGGAGCTACACAGTGGTCTCTTGTGCCCCTACCAGTTTCCCCAAAGGTGACATCCTGTGGAGCTCTGGCACACGCCACACCAGGACACCGACGGGAACAAAGGTCCGCACGCAGGACACCGCGTGTTGTCCTTTGTGCTCGTACCTCCACCTTGCTCTCAGCTAACCAGCAGCTGCCAACCTGTCCTCCATGGAGAATGTTCTATGGAGGAATCATACAGTATACACCCTTTAGATACTGGGTTTCTTCACGGGCACCGTTGTGTGGCGTTTCATCCAGTAGGTCCTTCCTCGTTACTGCTGTTAGACTGATTCAGCGCTGTGTGTGGGCGTTTGTGTAAACCTAAGCTTTCACTTCGCTGGGATGAGCGCCCGGGGACACAGCTGCTGGGCCGCATGGGATTCCTATGCTGTTTAAGAAACTACCACAGTGTGTGCGGGCGGTGCGAGGACCTCCACATCCCTGCCAGCCTTTGGTGTTCGCAGGGGTTCCTGCAGCAGCTCTGGAGGGTATGGAGTGATACCTTTTCACTTGCGTTTGCCTAATGGCTAGGGATGCTGAACACTTACCTGATGTTTTTTTCTAGTCATCTTGGTGGGTATGAAGCGCTATCCCATTGTGGTTTTGATTTTCATTTCCATGATGACTAATGATATCTTTTCATGTGCTTATGGCCTATTTACATATAATTTTTGGAGAAATACCTATTCAGATCCTTCGTCCAGTTTTTAATTAGGTTGTCTTATTGGGTTGTAAGAGTTCTTTATACGTTCTAGAAACAAGTCCCTTATCAGATAAATGACTTGCAAATATTTCCTCCCATTCTGTGGGCTATATTTTCACTTTCTTGATGGTGGCCTTTGAAACACAAAAGTTCTAAATTTTGGTGAAATAGAGTCTCTCTCCCACAAGTGGGGACTAAACAGAAGGGAGCCCCACCTCTTGGCCACACTTGCCTGGGGTTCAGCTCCAGCAGCGGGTATCTGGGGGCAGGATAAGAAGTGCCAAAGCCCTTCTTCCCCCCAGGGTAGGGGCAGGGGGTGAGGGGCCCTGTGTTCTTGGCTGCACCACTCTGTACACGGTGGATTCTCAAATACTCCAGACTGCTTTCTTCGTAAATTTGCATATATTTTATTTTATTGGGTTGTGCCACGTGGCATGCGGGATCTTAGTTCCCCAGCGGGGGGGGGGGAACCCACTCCCCCTGCAGTGGAAGTACAAAGTCTTAACCACTGGACCGCCAGGGAATTCCCAGCATAGATCTTGAATAGCTATTGCTTCACCTATTTGCCCTTCAGACCCTTCCCAGGAGCTTTAAATGTTTGCCTGTTTTATAATTTTCACCACCTTTCACTGGGGAGCTGGTCAGTGGAGCTCCTCATGCTTTCATTCTGAGGTCCATCCGCTTTTTACTTACTTTTCTTGCCTTACTGCAGGGGTTAGAACTTCCAGCACTGTTTGAAAAAAGGGCGGGGGAGGGGAGCTTCTGTTGAGAACAGGCATCCCTGCCTTGTTCCCAATCTTAGAAGGCATTCAGTCTTTCACCACCAAGGGTGATGTTAGCTGTAAGGCTTTTGTATATGATTTTTATCAAGTTTATTTTAACTTGCTAAGAAGTTTTTTTTTTTTTAGTCTGAATGGCTGATGGGCTATGTCAAATGCTTTTTCTGTATCAATTGATATATAATTTTTCTTCTTTAGTCTGTTGGTGTAGAGGGTTACATTGATCTTCAAGTGTTGAACCACACTTGCATAGCTGGAATAAATTCTACTTGGTCATGATGTGTAATTCTTTATATACATTGTTGGATCTGATTTGCTTATATTTTAGATTTTTTTGTGCCTATGTCCATGGAAGATATTGGTCTGTAGTTTTTGTTTGTTTGTTTTGGGTACTATCTTTGTGTGGTCTGGGTATCAGGGTATTTCTTGTCTCCGAAAATGAGTTAGGAAGTGTTTCCTCCTATTTTGTGGAAGTGATTGTCTAAAATTGATGTTAATTCTACTTTAAGTACCTGGTAGAACCCCAGTGAAACTATCTGGGCCTGAAGACTTCTTTGGGGAAGCTTTTTTTAAGTTACAAATTCAATTTCTTTCATGGTTTTAGGACTATTCATATTATCTATTTCATCTAGTTTGAATTTTTGGTAGATTTCAATTTTCAAGTAATTGTCCGTTTCTTCAAAGTTGGTGAATTTATGAGCATTGTTGGTAGCATTCCCTTAGTATCCTTGAAATGCCCTCAGACTCTGTAGCCCTGTTATTAGTCAGCATTCTCCAGAGAAACAGGGCTAGCAGAATATGTGAGAGAGAAAAATGTAAGTGGAGATTTATTACAGGAATTGGCTCTGCAGTTATGACGGCCGAGAAGTCCCATGATTTGCATTTCTCAAGCTGGAGAACCAGGAAAACCATAGTCATTGGTATAAATCCAGTCCAAGTGCAAAAGCCTGAGAATGGGGAGGGGCGTGGGGTGGCGTGTCACTGGTATCAGCCCTGGAGCCCAATGTCCGAGGGTAGGAGGAGGACGTCCCAGCTCAAGGAGAGTGAATCCACCATTCCTTCATCTTTTTGTTTCTCTCTGACCCCACCCCAGCGGATGGGCTGATGCCCACCCACATTGGTGAGGGCGGATCTCTACTCAGTCTACTGAATTAGATGCTAATCTCCAGAGATGCCCTCACATACACACCCAGAAATAGCATTTAACGGGCTAACTGGGCATCCCTAAGCCCAGTCAAGTTAACACATAAAATTAACCATTATAGCCCCCATTGCATACTGGTCATTTGTGTCTTCTCTATTTTTGTCCATCTTGCAAGTTTATCAATTTTCCAAAGAACTATTCTTTTTTGTTTCATTGATTTCCTCTGTTGTTTTCCTGTTTTCAGTTTCATTGATTTCTGCTCTTTCCTTCTTTCTGCTTGTTTTGGTTTATTTTGCCCTTCTTTTCCTAGTTTCCTGAGGTAGAAACTTAGATGATTGATTTGAGACCTTTCCCCTTTTCTGATGTGCTGTAAATATCCCTCTTAGCACTGTTACCTGCAGACCACATAATCTGATTTTGTATTTTTAATCTTCATTCAGTTCAGTTCTGTGTTTCTTAAAAATTTTCTTCTTCTAGATGTGATTTTCCTGGTTGTTGGGTTCTTCCCTGATTTCCGCGGTATGATGGGTTGTTTTTTTTTTTAATTGTATCCCAGACAGGCTATTATGTTCAAATTTTTAATTTTAGCAGGCAGTCATCCTGTTTGGGTTCAAGATGCAGGTCCTGGGCTGCTTTCACGGCCTGTGGATCTAAGGACAGTATAACATTCAGGGGCTTTCTTGCACTGTGTTGGTCTCATGCCGCTGGGCCCTGCTGGTGCTCTCGAATGGGTGGGAGGCACTTCCTAGGCTGGACCATCCTGTGCCTTGGGTCGGGGAGGGGGTGTTTTCCTGGGGGAGGAAGCCCTGCTTGCTGGGCTGAAAGCCTGCCGTGGTGGAGTTTCCCTTGCCAGTGCCCCCATCCGCCAGAGCCTCTGGTTGGGGTGGCGGGGGCAGGAGCCTGAGTGAGGCAGGGCACGGTGTGGGGAGGAATGTGCTTCCCTTGACCCCATATCAGGAGACTTCCCTTGAGCTTCGTACCAGTTCTGCCAGACTCCCTAGAATTGTGACAGACTCCCGTCCACTGGCCCTCGTCCTGGTAGCAGCTGTGTGTGGGGAGGAGGGGTGGGTTAGGAAATGCCGGGCTTGGGTCCCCTTCTGTTGGGTGGGCTGCTCTGCTGTTCCTCCAGTCCTGGGGTCCCTCACCAGCTCACCTTCCTCTTTTCATCTTTGAGAGTTCAGTTTTGGTGGTCTCTAATTTCCTGCATTTTTCTTGGCTTAGTCAGGAGGAGCAGGGAGACAAGCTCACGCCACAGGGCCTGGCAGAGAAGTGAGACTTAGGAAGGACTCCGCTGAGGCGATGAGAAAGGGGCCGTAGGAGGACGCAACTTTCCCCGCCCCGCCCCCCGGCTGTGCCGCGGCTTGTGGGATCTTAGTTCCCCTACCAGGGCTTGAACCCGGGACCCAGCAGTGAAAGCGCCGAGTCCTAACCACTGGACCGCCAGGGAGTTCCCTGAAGGAGCAACTTAGAAACTCTTGGATGTTTCCAAGACCCAAGAGGGTGAAGATGGGTGTGGAGGAAAGGGAGGAAGAGGAGTCCCCCACCAGTGGGATAGACGGACAGATTTCCAGCGACAGAGAGGGATGCAAGATGCAGGGCTTAGATTGGGACATGATGTGTCTGGTGCCTGGTGCACCGGGGAGATGCCCAGCAGGCAGCCCCTGGCTCCGTGGGCTCTGGGGTAGAGCCAACAGAAGATTGAGGATGGAGGAGACTCCCTCCGCAACAATGGCCGCTCTGATTGCCTGCCCCCGCCCTCGTCTATCTCTGGGGTGGTGACAATGTTCATCTGTCTCCCGGAGCCTGGCACAGGGCGGATGCTCGGCGAATCTGAGTGCAGGCGGACCTGCGTGGAAGCAAGGGCGCATCTCCGGAAAGCTCGGGGAGGGTTTGCGTCCTCGGGGGTGTGGCAGGGGCGGTTGCTGAGAATGGAGGCAGGCGTGTTTCTCCATCTTCTTTCCATTGCCCGAGAGCTGAAGGGTGGGACAGCGCTGAGCCGCGGGGAGCCCCGGGGACCAGTCAGCCCGGAGCTCCGCTGGGGCTACCTTCCCTGCTGCGCTCCCGCCAGCCGGCTCTGGTTGCTGTGGAGCCGGGAGGCGGTTGCCACGGAGACCGACGTGCGAGGACCAGCCAATCAGTGAGGAGCTGCGGCGCCAGCTCTCCTCTTGGATGGAGGCGTTGGGTTAGGCTGGGGAGCCCTGCCCGGGTAGCTGGGGGCCGGGAGTTCGAGCAGGGGTACTACGCCGCCGCCTCCCCCAAAGCGCTTGGCCCCCCAGAACCTCCAACACCCCCCCCCGGCCACGCGCCCCGAATTCTGGAGACCCTCTGACTCTTCCCGACCCGGCTAAGGGCTGACGCCTCCGACCGGCCCTGAACCCCTCTCCCGTTAGTGGGGGCGGAGAAGTGATGCTGCGGGAAAGGCGGGGCCGCGGACCGCGGGCGGGGAGTGCAGCCGGGGTGGGGTATGGGGAGGGAAGGAGGCTGTCCCACCCCCTCCGCTCCCGGCGCACCGCAGTGCCTGGCGCGCCCGCGCACGCTCACTCGGAGCGCTGGGCGGGCGGGGCGGCGCTGACGTCATCCACTGACCCCCTTCACCCCCCGGCCGAGGGGCGGTGGCCGCGCAGGCTCCGCGGGACGGACTCACGGACAGACAGGGGACGGAGGGACGGGCGTACGGCCAGGCCATGCCGGGGGAAGCTGCCCGCGCCGAGCTGCTGCTACCGGAGGCGGGCGGAACAGGGCCCCGCACAGGTGAGGCCGCGGGGCTCTCCCGCCTGCGTGTGTCTCCGCCAACCCCTCCCGTCGTCCCCGTCCCCTCTCCACCCCTCTCTCTCCGTCCCTGTCCCCATACCATCTCCGTCCCCGTTTCCTCTCCGCTCCCCGCCCTCTCTCCGTCCCTCTCTCTCTCCATCCCCGCTCCGTCCCCTTCCTTGGTCCCCTGCCCCTCCGGGCACCGGAATCCTAGCCCAGCCCTGGCCCCCACTCAGAACTGCAGGGAAGGGCGGGGTGGAGCAGGGATGTCCTCCAGGAGCCAGAAGCGACTTGAAGGCCTTCGAGCGTCCAGGGCTTCGTGCGCTCCCCGCCAGGGTCCCCTGCCGCGCCCCATTGTCTGAGGGGAGCAAGGGGCCTCGCGGCCCCTGCAGCTCTGGACTGGAGGCTGCGGGTTGTCAACTGCACCCCGGCCACTGGGGATGCACCGGGCACCCGCCCCTCCAGATGCTTGAGAGCCGCCTCAGGGCTGGCGACTAGTCCTGGCTCAGGAGGGAGGAACAGGGCTGGAGCTGGAGCCTGGGGAAGCTGGAGGTGCCGGCTGAGGTCTGGAACGTGGGAGGCCCTGGGGGAGCATGGCCTGGGGAGCAGTAGCCCTGGAGTGCAGGCCCGAATCCTTGGAGAGACTCAGTCAGCAAGTATGGGAGGGACTCTGCCTGGGCCTGGGAAAACCAGCCAGGGATGGCCACCGGGCAGGAGGTCAGCCATGTGAGGCTCCGGGAGGGCCAAGGGCACCTGACTGTGGGTGAGAAGTCCCCTGGGGATGAAACCAGGGCTGGGTCCAGGGGCCTGGCCTCCCTCTGGGTCCAGTGGGGCTGGCTCTGCTTGGACTGTTTGGCGACCTTGAATGAGGCACAAAAGCCTTTGACCTTTGGCTTCCCTTCCTCTGCCCCCTTAGCCCAGCTTCACCCTCTGGCTGCCTTGGGGCCCTGGAGTCTACTGCGGTGCACAGGGGTACCACGCCAGGCTCAGTGCCAAGAGCCTGATCTCCAGCACCCAGCCCTGACTGCCACACCCACCTCCTGGGGTTAGGTATTCATCACACTCCAGTGGACCCAAAGGACCCCCTTCGCAGGACCCCCTAGCCACGCCAGCACCCCAAGCAGTGTGGCCCAAGGGCCCGGGTTCTGCCATTGCTGCAGCCAACGGGCAGCCTGGGGAGGGGGCTGCCCCTGCGTAAGCTCCCCTCTAATCCTGGCAGACACTCTCCCCTTTGCATACTGGAAGCTGAGGCACAGGAGATGTTGTACTTGTGGGAGGTCTTGGGTGAGCACGGTAGAACAGGAACCCTCCAGAGAATGTGGCCGGGGCGGGGTAGCCCCTGTCCACTGCCGTGGGACGCCCCATAGATGTCCCTGGCAGAGAGAGCCAGGCCTGCCAGCCCTGCGGGGCGGCTTCCACCGTGGAGACTCAGCTGGACGCTCTCTCAGGCCCCCACAGCTGCACACAGGGCAGGGCAGGGCCGCCTCTGCTTCCCCGGAGGGCCAGCACCACTGCCAGCACAGCCTCTGTCTGAGCTGGGACGTCCTGCCTGAGGACCACACGCCGTGGCCCCTGCTTCCCCTCGTGCACGTGGCAGCTCTGGGAACAGGGGTGGGGTGGAGCCCAGGGAGACCCCGACAGCTTGGCCTCGGGTGCGGGCAGCGAGGAAAGGGGAGAGATGAGGCAGAGAAGCAAGAGCCCCACTTCACAGCAGGCGTGAGATCTGGAATGTTCCAGAGCTGAGTGGAGTGCAGGGGCCCACTGACCTGGGGGGTCATAAGCAGGCGTCTCCCGGCAAGCCCAGCCGAGGCAGCGCAGATTACGGGCAAGGAGTCAGCAGGCTAGTGTCTGAGGCGACAGGAGCTGGTCTCATCTTTACTGAGCACCTCGGAGAAGAGCCAGACCTCAAGCTGCTCACCGTGGTCAGAACTCTTGGAAATCCTCCCCCAGGCACAGCAATCGCCTTTCCCTCTCGTGACCTCTCTTTTCAGCGGACACCCACCCCCGCGGGCCCCCAGCCCTGTGCTCAACTCCCGTCTGAGGGAGGGACGGCTGCAGCCTGGGAGCTGCTTCTCAGGGAAGATGCCTGCCCTTCTCACGCCCTTCTCTCTCCACAGATCTGTCCTGCGATGCGGCTGCGGCTACCACCCCGAGGGGGGACCAGCTGGAGCACTGTGTCCTGACCCCTAAGCCCAGTGCCCTGGCTCTCACATTCCTGCCCAGCAAGCCGGGTGCCCGGCCCCCGCCTGACGGAGCCAGCTGGGATGCAGGGCCGGGACGCGCCCCCTCGGCCTGGGCAGTCCAGGCAGAGGGCGACCCCAGCCCAGGGCCCCCCGAGGTTCGGCCTGCTGAAGGTCCTCTCCCAGCCTCCCTGGAGCCCCGGATTGTGATGGGCGAGGAGACGTGCCAGGCATCCCCACTGCCCAGGGCAACCCTGCCAGAGCTCAGGGACTGGGAGGGTGGGCACGCCAGCCTGAACCCACCCCCCGAGTTGTGTTCTCAGGGTGACCCTCCTGTGCTTTTCCCTGCACCCGACTCCGACTCCTACTTCACCCCTCCCTCCACCCCGACCGAGACAGCCTCCACCCTGCTCCCTGGCCCCGGGCCCCACAGGGATGCCCAGGATGCCCAGGCTGAGCTGGGGAACTCGCCGCCAGCCTCGCCCTCGGGCTCCTACATCACGGCGGACGGGGACAGCTGGGCCTCGTCTCCATCCTGCTCCGTGAGCCTGCAGGCCCCGGCTGAAGGGCTGGATGTGCCCTCAGGCTGGGGCTTCTCCCCACCTGGGTCTGTGGCCGATGAGAGGGAGCTGCCCCCTGCCGGGACCCCGGACACCTCGTCCCCAGAGTCCAGCCTCTCGGCAGACAGCAGCTCTTCCTGGGGCCAGGAGGGCCACTTCTTCGAGCTGGACTTCCTGGCCAACGACCCGATGATCCCTGCTTCCCTCCTGCCCTTCCAGGGCAGCCTAATCTTCCAGGTGGAGGCTGTCGAGGTGACCCCGCTGCCCCCCGAGGAAGAACAGGAGGAGCAGGCGGAGGAGGGCGAGGAGGAGGCCCCCAGCCCCAGCGGGGACCTGGCCGGGCAGGGCGAGGACGACAGCACGTTCGCGTCCTCGCTGCAGTCGCTGTCCGACCTGTCCATCACTGAGGGCATGGACGAGGCCTTCGCCTTCCGAGATGACACCTCGGCCGCCTCCTCTGACCCCGACTCGGCCTCCTACGCGGGGGGTGACGATGAGAGACTGTACAGCGGGGAGCCCCACGCACAGCCCACCGCCCTGCTCCGGGACAGCCCTGGTGAGGCCGCCTCCTGGGGCCCCGAGCCCACTCTTGGGGTGTCCGAGGGAGAGGTTGGCCGGGCTGCCAAGAGCCAGGAACCCATCTCCGATATAACGGGGGTGGGCCCCGCTCCAGGCCAGGTGTCTGCTGCTGCTATGGCCCCTCACGTCCCACAGAAAGCCCCAGGCCTCACTGCGGTGACCCCTCGGGACTGGGCAGCAGAGGCAGGCTCCACCATGGGACCAGCGCCTGTTGCCACAATCACACCTCAGTCCCTGGAGGAGGGAGACGGCGCTGCCTTAGGCTTAGAGCCCCCGACTTCGAAGGGAGAGGCGGACCTCGACTCTCTGCAGAACCTGAAGGAAGAAACGGGCCAGGGGTTTGCCGCTGCAGGCAGCCCTGAGCCCCAGCCAGGAGAAGTGGAACCGGCAGTATCCCTGCCCCTGCAGGATGCAGGCCTCCCCACTGGCCAGGGATCTGAGCCCCAGGCCAGCCCTGAGCCCCAGCCAGAACTGGACATGACGGCATCCTTGCCACTGCAGGATGCAGGCCTTCCCTCTGGCCAGGGATCTGCCCCCGAGGCCAGCCCTGAGCCCCAGCCGGAAGAACTGGACCTGACGGCATCCTTGCCACTGCAGGATGCAGGCCTCCCCACTGGGCAGGGATCTGCCCCCGAGGCCGGCCCTGAGCCCAAGCCCGAAGAAGTGGACCTGACGGCATCCTTGCCCCTGCAGGATGCAGGCCTCCCCTCTGGCCAGGGATCTGCCCCCGAGGCCGGCCCTGAGCCCCAGCCGGAAGAA